TGTCAGGCTGATCCTGCAACACAAATATGGATGTTTCCAGCTGCAAAGGCCCTTAGAAGTTATCTATGTCAATCCCTTGGGAACTTACCATTTTACTATAGAGTTGCTAGACTTAGGAAATAAAAATGCAAGACTCTCAGTTAAATTTCAGTTTCAGATACGCAATGAGTAATTTTTTTAGTGTAGATGTGTCCTGCGCAATATTTGGAAGATATTTATACTAAAAAATTATTTGTTGTTTATTGAAAATTCAAGTTTAAATAGGAGTTCTGTATTTTATCTGGCATCCTATGATGAGGAAATTGAGGTGCAGAGAGGTGGAATGACATTCTACAATGCTATGCTGTCCCTAGGGTTTCTAGGACTTCTTTAGTTTCTACCTTTGCTATAAGTCATTGATTTCTGCTTTACTGAAAGCTTTCTTTTTTGACAAGTAAATATTGTTGTAAAAATACATAACTATAGTAGCAACTAACTTTCAAATACCTAAAGATCTAGAATATTTACTTTATAACAGAGAAATTAATATACATCAAAGTGTTGTCTTTTCATAAATCATTCAATGCTACTTAGTTTGTCACAAGAAAAAAAAATGATAGAAACATGATTCTACACAATTAAGATGATTTTATATAGACTTCCTCTTCTTGCTTAGAACTTCCCGAAAGTCCTTTTATCTATCTATCCAATCATCTACGTACCTACCTACCTATCTCACAAAGAGTCATTGGCTGACAAAGAGAGCATGAGTGGAATTTTGAGACCTCAGTTCTGCCCAATTCCCAAATTGTGAGCTTCCAGGAACTAAGGCAGGTCTGTCTGAAAACAAGATCCTAGAATTTAGGTGGTTTGAGCATGGAAAGGAAAGCTTGCCCTTAAGCTTTAAAAAAAAATATGTTGAGGGACAGAGCTAAGGAGTAGTGGGTGGGGGAAGAGGGTCATGCTGCCACACCCTTCCATCTTAAGAATAGAAGGGTCAAGACAACTTGTTAAAAATGTTTTCTCCCAAGATTGAATGTTTAAAGGTAATTGGTTCAATTCATTCATGGGCTATATCTTTGGGTGCTAAAAGTGTGGCAATTCATTAAAAAATGAGAATAAAACAGTTTGATATATTTGATTTTTTAATTGAATTGATTCCCAGAGCATTTGATCTAGTTTCATACACTTAACCAAACTGCATCATCTTCCAAAGAATTCAAATAGTTTTGGAAGAGATCATTCATTCATACAGAAGGGTGTCCACTGAATACAACAAGAACAAATTCTACTCTGCAACATGTTTCATATACAACTCAACTTCAAATATAGTACCCTATTTTGCCCATAGAAAAACCTTCCAAGGAGTAGCTATATCACACCTGACCTCTTCTCTAAGCCCAATTCAGGTCCATATAAATGCTATGGAAGAGGTTAAGAAGAAGCTTTACGTCAAGCAACACTTATCTTTACTACATATTTGCCTAACACAAGCTTCACACACTGCTTTTTATAGTAATAATCTTTTAGGCTTCTATTGAATTTAGTAGGTATCAAAGGGCTTTCATATCCATTATTTCATTTAATTCTTACAGCAGTCCTGTGAATACGCATAGCAATTATTATCATCAGATTCTAGATTTTATACATTAGAAAATTGAGACACGCTCAAAGAGATAAACTAACTTGCTTGAGGTCACACGAGTATTGTGGCAGAAACCCATGTTCTTAATCTCCATTCCACCACCACCAAAACCACCACTACCACTTCTTACTGCTTCTCTTTCTCCTCTATTTTCTTTTCCTCTATCTGTCTCTTCTTCCTCCACCATCTTTTCCTCCTCCTCCTCTTTGACTTTCTCATCCCCCAGTGGGATTTGTTGAGCTTAATAGGTGCCAGGAATGATGCTAAGTGCTTTAAATACATATTTTCATTTAATTTGTACAATGACTTTATGATTGTCCTCATTAAACAAATGTGAAAACTGAGTCTGAGAGTGAAATGTCACACAGATAATATGCGATGATCCATAATTTGAATATAGACCTTCTAACAGCTAGTTCATTGTTCTTTGATATGAATATCTGAACTACCAAAACACATTATCTAAGTATAATAATGCATGTTCTTTCATTGAAACCAGATGGAAAAAAATGTGATGTAGAAAAAACTTGTCTCTGAACTTGCATTTCCTCTGCTTTGATTGACTGTTTTGATTTCCTCATAAGTTGAATGTACCTAACACTATAATGGTATCATATAAATAACGGTTCAGGTAAGGCCTTGAACATAAGGGATTAAAGCAATATCCTGGTACTTACTGAAACTAGGAGGCAGGACAGTGTGAACGGCAGTATTTCTGACTCAATACTGAACCTCAGAACTTTGGATCTGTGAGTGCGGTTCTTAACTCACCTAGATGCTGGGTTTTTCTCTAGAGCCGCAAACTAGGATGAACCTGCAGGCAAGAGTTAAGTGGCTTTTGCTGAAGATCCTGACAGTGGAGACAGTAAGCCAGGCTTGTCATTATAGCATGTGGATGAAGTGTTGCTTTCATGCTCTGAGAGGTGAGAAAATTTTAACCTGCCATGAACTCAAAGTTTGTAAGTGTCTTCGCTTGCCAATGCCTGGCAGATGTGCCTACAGAGCTTTAGTAGCCTGTTACAGCTGTCTTTAGTTTGCTGTGGATGAACTATGGATGCCAAACTTCCATATAAATATCAGTATTTCCTACATATTCTTAATTATCCTCAGGTTGTGCCTTCTGAAACCTTACAACTTTCTATTTTAAATTGAGCTTGGAAAAACAACAAATCACTTCCAGGCAGGCACTTCTTTTCTGGGTTGTAGAGGGTAATTATACATGTTGGCGTGTGGGGATTTGAAAGCACATGTAATATTAATATTAATGGATGGCTAGGACACACATTCTTCATCTCAATGTAAGCAAGGGTTTCAGCATATCTTGGGGGACTTTTCACTCTTATTAAGGAAATAAAGATATCTCTAGTTCATTTTTGTGAAGCATGATCAATATTTGAGCTTCGTGGACTTAAATGATATTCCATACATACCATCTTGTTTCCTTTTCTCTAAGTGCTGTTTCAACACAGTGGTTGAAAGATTCATTCTGAAGATAGTTCTTGCCATCCTTTGTTTTAGAGAAAAGATGTAGGATGAGTAGAAAAATCACAAGAAGTTGTTGCCCAGTATGAACAGTGTTTCCCTTGGGAGCGTTTGTTGAAAGCAACCAGAGGCAATTGCTGAACATTGTGGTTGCCTGAGGGGGTAGATAATAGTTGGGCTACACAATAGACTGCCAGCCCTGGTGATCTAGTGGTTAAGATTCGTCACTTTCACCACTGTGGCCCGGGTTCATTGCCAGGTCAGGGAACCACACCATGCATCTGTCGGTTGTCATACTGTGGCAGCTGGGTGTTGCTGTAATGCTGAAAGCTATGCCACCAGTATTTCACAGCAGGGTCACTCATGGTCACCATGGTGGACAGGTTTCAGTGGAACTTCCAAACTAGACAGACTAGGAAGAAGGACCTGGCCACCCACTTCCAAAAAAGATGGCCATTAAAACTCTATGAATAGCAGCAGAACATTGTCTGATATAGTGCCGGAAGGTGAGAGGATGGCACAAAAAGATTGGGCAGGGTTCTGCTCTGCTGCACACAGGGTCACTGCAAGTCAAAATCAACTCAATGGCACTAATAACAAAACACAATAGACTAACAAAAATTAAAAGAATTTGTTGCTAGCATATCTGCCCTACAAGAATACTAAAGAGTCCTTCAGGCTGAAATGAACAGACACAGACAATAACTTGAATCTTTGTGAATAAATGAAGAACACTCAAAAAGGTAACATAATAGGAAATATAATAGACAGTATAAATGTATTTTTATAACTTTTTTCCTATCTGATTTTTAGAAAAAACAACTGTACTAAGCAATAACAAAAATCTTTGCTGATAGGCATACAATGTATAAAGATGCTCAATATCATTACTCATTAGGGAAATGCAAATCAAAACCACTCACTAGGATGGCTATAATCAAAAACACAGATAATAATAATTGTTGGCAAGAATGTAGAGGAAATGGAACCCTTATATATAAATGGTGGGAATGTAAAAAGCGCAGCCTCTTGGAAAACAGTTCGGAAGTTCCTTAAAATGTTAAGTATAGTTACCACATAAGCCAGTAATTCCACTCTTAGGTCTATACCCAAGAGAATCTAAAACATATGTCCACACAAAAACTTGTACATAAATGTATATAGCCACATTATTCATAATAGCCAAAAGGCGGAAACAACTCAAATGTCCACTTGCTAGTGAATGGGTAAACACAATTTGGTATATCCATACCGTAGGATATTAATGGAGTATTGTTCAGTCATAAAAAAAGGGATGAAGTACTGATTCATGCTACAGCATGGATAAACCTAGAAAACATAATGCTAAGTGAAAGAAGCCAGACACAAAAGGCAACATATTGTATGTTTACATTTGTATGAAATGTCCAGAATAGATAAACCTGTCGTATGTTTACATTTGTATGAAATGTCCAGAATAGATAAACCTGTCGAGACAGAAAGTAGATTAGTGGTTTCCTAGTTCTGGACGGGAGAGTGATGAGATGATTGGTGGATGAAGGCTAAAAGGTACAGAGTTTCATTTGGGGGTGATGAAAATGTTTTGGAATTAGGTAACGGTGACAGCTGCACACTTTGTGAATGTACCAAAAATCACGGAATTGTACACTTTAAGGAGGTTAATTTTATGGTATGTGAATTATATCTCAATAAGAAATGGTTTGAATAAAAGGAATCAATGTGTACAAAAGGTTAGAGAAAATATATCAAATATTAATAGCCAAAAATTTAAAAAATGTTTCTCCCTTTTTCAGGATTCTCTGCCATTGATGGCACTTAACAACCTAGTTATAAAATGAAGATAAAATATCTGAGCAGAAAAACGTCATTAAGAGGAAGTTATTTTGCACTCCACTATATTGTTTACTCTTTTGAGTGTGCCAAAAGGAAGTCCAGGGGCAGGGACAAGAATCTGTGCCAATAGGCCACATATGACCTGTGATTTTTTTACATGGTTCAATTAAAATGGTTTCTCTTTTGTAAGTAAGGAGAGAGGAGATAGCTTTCAGAGTCATGATATTGATGTTAGAGGACAATTAAGACACACACTTGGAAGTCATCCACGAAATTAGCTCTTTAATCTGTATATAAGATTTATTCTGTTTATATTTGTATGTGTTATTTCAGTTAAAAAAGGTTACAAGAGAAAAAGCTTATCATGTCACATCCCTGTAGTACGTAAAATCCTCAAATGACTACCACTGCACTAAGGGTAAATCCAAACAATGAACCCTGGCTTACAAGGTGCCACTTGACCCAACTGCCTACTTCTCTAATCTCATCTATCACCCCTTCTCACGCCTCCGCAGGCATGATCACCATCTTCCTTTCATTACCAGACTCTTTCCCCTCTTGGGTCTTTACCCTTGTGGTTTCTCTGCCCTAATAGTTCTTCCCTCAGTCACATGGCCAGCTCCCGTTCAGGTCACAATTCAAATTGTTACCCACTTAAGTGATTTTTCTCAAACTTCATTCTCTATTACATCATTCTATTTTAATGTTGTTTTTTCATGACTTTTTGTTGAGTTATTTTATTTGGTGGCCATGGTGGTGGACAGCTGAGGAGGAGGCAATTCTCATTCTTCTGGTGCAGGTTGACCTCTCAAGATAGACCCAAACTTGTTCAAATCTAACAAGAGAAATGCCTTGAAAACACAGTTTCCTCAGTGTTGAAGCTGCCATCCCTCCAACTGCCATGTGCAGTACCTTGATCTCTGAGGTGAGGAAAAGTGGTAAAAAAAAAAAAGGATTCAGAATTTTAGCCAATCTCTCTTAGATGGGAGCAAAATGACTGTGATTGTTTCTCACATTTTCCTTGCTTTTGATAACCTTGACAGTTTTGAGGATTACTGATAAGTATTTTGTAAAATGTCCCTCAATTGGGATTTTTCTGATGTTTTTCTTTTGATTAGACTGGGGTTATGGGTTTTGGGGAGGAAGACCACAGAGGTAAATTGCCATTCTCATCATATCACATAAAGGGTTTATGTGTCTTATCACTGATGCTATTAACCTTGATCACCTGGCTGAGGTGTTAGCTTCCTTGACCATAAATTTACTATTTTTTCCCTTGTTGATACTCTGTGAAGCCCACACTTAATGACTGAGAATTATGCTCCACCACCTTGAGGACAGAGTGTCTACATACATTACTTGAAATTCTTCTTCATGAGAGATTTGTCTCTTCTCCTCCCTTTATTTGTTCAATCATTTATTTATATCAGTATAGACTCATGGTTATATTTTTTATACTTTGGGCTGTAATTTAATACTACTTTATTTTGTTACTCAAATTGTTCCAGCTTTGGCCATTGAGAGCTCTTTCAGTTGGCTTCTGTGTCCTTTTGACATACTCCCATCATTCTGACTCTTTGAGCATTCCTTTATTTGTGGCACAACAAGGTGCTCCAAGCTCATCTTGTGTATTACTTGTCCCAGTCCTAGAATCAGCCATTTCTCCAAGGAACCCCGGTACCTTTTATTAGAGAACAATGTTAGAAACCAAAATCTGGGCACTGAGTATGCTCATTGCTACTGGGGTGTCATTGCTTCTAGACCCTCTAGCTGATAGAACAAAGAAATATGTGTGTGTATATTACATATATCTATAAATATTTTTAAATGCATCTATCTACATTCAACCAAACATGAGTTCAAACTGATGTTTCCCATACTAATCCTTTACCACGTGATCACTGTGGTAAATGATCTCCCATTGCTTGGCTGTAACCTCCCATTCCAAGAGCAAGAAACCTGGCTCCCACCATTTGCCATCCATTTACTTAGCTGTTCAGTTCTCCTATACATGTTATAGTTATCTCAGAATTGTTAACCTGTATTTCCATGGGAAATAATTTTATCACCTAGAGTACAGTGTTTACGTACAGTTCCTTTTGCTTTTAATATTACAGTCATTTACAAAATTACTTATGTCAGCGTCTATTCTCCCCTCTTCCTTCAGTGGGGTTGTTGCATACATTTGTAATACAGTTAGATTCTTTTGTCACAGTCTGCATTCCATCCTGGGCTCTTCTGACCTAAATTATTTATTTTAAATTTACGTACATTAAGGTTCACTCTTTTTGCTGTAAAGTTCTTTGGGTTTTGACAAATGCATAGTGTCATGTATCTACGGATATAGCTTTTTTGAACTTGTTCTTATTAACACACGAGACCAGGACATGTTTCATGTGGAAGAGATTTTTTAAAACTGATGCTTTCAGTGAACACATGACTTTAAAACATTTTTGTTAGAATTTTCCTGTTATTTCAAATCTTTATCTCACAAGATATTTTTCACCTGAAAGAAAGTTGAATTAGTTAATTCTTAGTCTTTCTATACAATGGTACCTTATGAGACTGTAAACATTTTACCTGTTTTATCTCCTGAGTGTGTGTTCTTTCCATTTTAATATCCATATGTGGTACATTGCTGTGTGGAACATAGCAATCTGCTCTGCAGCATCATATCTTATCAAGCTGGGTTTTGTTTGTTCGCTCTGTCCTTGTTTTCATTTTCCTTTTTTGCAGCAATAGAAATAGATAGTAGTAGGTTCAGAAAGGAACCATGAGATAGCCTAATATGAACAGCTATTTAATGGATTAAAAGTCAGGATTTTACACAACCCATCAAGCTCTGGGTGGTTTCCTTTTTCTTCCTGCCTTCTTGTATTAGTGCCAGCCCGCCTGCCTGATTCCAGCACAGCAGAGTATCTTTGGCTAAGTTATATATGAAAAAAATTGAAAGTCAATTTGCACTCAGTCAAACCTAATAATGACAAATATGCTGATACAGTGGTTTTTTTAAGTGTGGCCCAAGGAAACTTGTTGAAAACACAAATTCTCGTGCCCCACTCTTTACTTGCTAAATCAGAGACTCTGGGAGTAGGGCCCACTGATCTGTGTTTTAACAATTCCTCCAGGTTATGCTTAATTTTTGGAACCACTGGGCTAGTGGAAACTGTTACAGAGTAATGCCGCTGCTTCTCCTTCGGTAGGACATTGTCTTTATTTCACTATGAAAATCTTTACTTTTTTCTTAATTTCCAATGGAATTGATTATTTGTCACTGAAACATTCAAATATCTACCTCTTGATTACATTGTTATCTATTTAGAAGTAGATAAAAGCCTTCATTACAATACTATAGGTAGGAACTTAATTTATGCCTCTGGAATGGGGGAACCTGTAGCAGGAGAGACGTACGCACGTGGTCCCGACAGTAGGTCACTGTGGGACTAGATACCAAGGATCATTCTCTTCTTTCTATGATTTCTGTTCTTTTCTTGGTCATTAGGGTTAATAGCAAATCTATTTGGTCTAATGTGATTTTAATCTCCTTAAGGAACATAAGGAAGACTTGTGGGGTAGCCCTCTTATGCTATGTGTAGAGACAAGCTATGAAAGCCAGTCTGTACAGAAAGAAAAATGATAAAGTCAAATAGAGAGAAGCAAGATGAAAGGCCATGAGGCCACAAGAAAAGAGAAAGACAAATGGGATGAATAGTTTTCAGATGGCTTTTCAATTCATGTTTCTACTACCTCATGAGGCCTGACTGTATTTCTGTCCTTAGGGTCTGGGAGAAAGCAGTGCATCTTTATAATAAATACTGCCCCCCCCCACTTTGCTTATGCTAGTGTGAGTTTCCATGGCATACCAACCAACCATCCACCCTCCCTAACATTTAAATTTTTCTTTTTGTATCAGAATCTGTTCCACACCTTCTCACACTGCTATGGCTTCTGCTTATTTTGAATATGCTATAATAACAGCTGGGAATTTTCTTTGAGTAAATGAGACTACTACATTGCAATAAAAATTAGGAAGTAATTTCTTGTAATTGTGACATTATATATCAAAGCTAATAAAGAAGAAATGCATTTTCTCCCTTAAATATTAATAGGTTTAAAGATGATATCCTCTTATATAACCTGAAAGGCTCTCAGACAATAAAAGAATATTTCACAACTGAAGTGACATTGCTATTGATCATTCAAAATCCAGAATTAATGTTCTTGCTTCTGATCAAATACTTTCTCTAAAATATAAGATGAAGCCCTGGGTTTTTTTTATGAGAAACACTCCTCATTAGAGTTTTGTGTCAATGTTCCATGAGATGAAAAATATATGATTACAGTCATAGTTAGCCTTATGTTGTTATAATTTCATTTAGGAAATTTTTGTAAAATTAAAGATGAATGCCCCAAATTACTCAGTAAAGAGTAAGAAATAAGTTGTGGTGAAACAGCAGAGACCACCCTGCATTACTTTACTTCTCCCATTCCAGGGCTGAAATGAGCCCTGAGTCTCTTCTTTAGGTAATAGTCTTGTAAACACAATCCCCCCACCATGTCATAACTGCTTGTCATTTCTCCCCATCAGTACTAAGCCAACAGCAATAGTTAAGAGCACAAGAAATTAATCTCACAGAGTGCATAATCTTGGGCTACAGTGAGATAAATTTCCAGGTCACAGTTTAGTTATTGCATCTAAGACCCTTATCTCTTGCCTCCTCTTCAGGATTTTACTTCTTAATTCTACCCTGCTTTGTTACCCTTAGGCCTGGTAGATCTCACTTACTCAGCATTTCCAGATACTAAAGAATTAAGGTTCTTCCTGTCTGATTATCTAGGCACAATCTGACTTTTCAGGAGATGGCAGGGATTAAATCTTATTCATCACCACATTTTTAGGGCCTCTGTTAGCTCATATTTCACTAATGTGTGAAACAGGAGAAGTACTTCTGTGGCAAATTTATGCCCTTAGGTTCAAGGCTCGGCAGGCAGAACATGGGCTGGATTTTAACCTGTTTTCTCTCTCGGCTGGGTACCTTGTACAGGGCACAACCTGTACAACCCTCCTGGCAACTGTGTGTATGTTGCACAGAAGCTTGCACAAGGCAGACAGTGGATACATGTGTAAGTGTAGAATAAAAGGAACGCCTAAATTTAACTAAATTGCAGGCCATGCCGTCACGATTTAGGGTAATTTTCCCTTTCCTCTGGTCTTTAAACCCAGAAGTCTCTTGGTGAATGAGTCAGATGTGCCTTGATTTGAATATCCACTGGTACCTGGCAGCTTTTTAATCTTGGATGAGTTCCTCAATTAAAGCTTCCTCATTTGTAAAACAGAATACTATTCACTTAGTCTGCTGTGAAGGTTAAAGAAAATTATGCATGCAAAGCACCTAAAAGAATATTTGGCATTTTAGAATATCAATACATGCTACTTTCTTTCACTGTATCTCTCCTTAAGCCTACTTTCTCCACTCATTTGGATAACTGTTTTCCTCTGGAAAGACTAGCATCTAAACTCTTAAATTTTGTTCTCTTCTGTCAGGAAATAATGATCATAACAATTATAGTTAACATTTATTAGGTGCTTGCTGTATCTAGGTACCATTCCAAATCCTTCCATGTATTACCTCATTTAATGCTTACAACAGCTTTATGAGGTGGGGACTGATATGGTCACCAGTTTACATTTGGTGAAATGAATCTAAGAGAGGATAAGTAACCTAACCCAAATTACACAAACCACTACTGGCTGCGTTGGGACTGGAATTTGGGCACCCCTACTCTGGAGTCCTCATTCTTAAGTACTCCAATTATACTGTCTCCCAGGGCATCTCTGGTTCATCACAAGTTAATGTTTATCCTTGTTAACATTTCCATCTATCCTCTAAAATTTTTCTGCTTTGTGATCAAAGAGAACGTAACACTGCAGACAAAGAATGTAGTCTCAGAATTGAACCTGGGTTAATAGGAGAGGTGGCATATTGTTGTGGTTGAGATGGTGAGTTCCAGATGCTGAGTGCCTGAGTTTGAATCTTCTTTCTGTGTGACTTTGGGCAAGTTGCTCAACCTCCATTGCCCCCCATGCCTCAGTTTCTTCATGTGTTAAATGAGAGTAATAAAATCTACTTAATTAGCTTTTTGTAAGGAATGAATATGGTAATACATGTAAAAAAACCACTTTGAATAGTGCCTGGCATACATTAAGAACTCAGCAAAGTTTATATATAGTAGTCTGCATCTTTCGGCTTATGACCCAGCTATCATACTTCAAGTTACAGTATGCACTCTAGAGTGTGCCATACTTGAGGAATTCTTGCTGTGAGAAAATGGAATTTAACAAAACTAACGATTGGAGGTGAGTACATTTTACTAAAGTACCTTTTATTTTCATAAAAAAAAAACACCTCTAAGTATTTTTAAATAGGGACCTCACTCCCCTCTTACATGTAAAATGGAATGGTTTATAAAACTTCAAACTAAACATAATTGTTCAGGAAAAAATTCACTGGTGTATTATATGTTTATTGCTGCATAGCAAGTTACCCCCAAACTTAGTGGTTTAAATGAACAAACATTTATTATTTCACAGTTTCTGTGGGTCAGGAACCTGGTCCTGGATTACCGGGTGCATCTGCTTGAGTTTGAGTGTCTCTAACACAACTCAAGAGAGACAGGGAGGATTTGCTTTCAAGCTCACTCACTTGACATTAGGCAGACCTTAAAAGACTCACAAGCTCACTTGCTTGGTGTTCAGCAGGCCTTAAGTTCCTCTGTGTGTGTGCTGGGGTGGGGGGGCAGTGGAGAGAGAAAGATAGAAGTGACTTCCTATTACTTTTATCACTTTTGCTGTATTTTATTTGTTAGAAGCAAGTCACTAGGTCCACTCCACACTCAAGGAGAAGGGATTACACGAGGGCATTCATCTCAGAAGGTGGGGACCTTTGGGGCCATTTTAGAGATTGCCCCATAACTGAAAGGGGTATAGCAAAAGCTGCCTATTCATCCATTTTATTAAACCCAAATTATTAGTTAAGGACCAGTTTTTGAAACATTATTGATTAGAAGTCTCTGACTAGGAGCTTTTTCCTCT